AAGAACTAGATAATTAAAATGTTAACTAAGCCCTGAGAAAAGGTTATATTATGTCTTCGCCCATTGCTGATGGCTTAATTTCATTATTATAAATTTACCTAAAGCCATAACACCATCAATCTTCATGAGTTTCTATCAAGCCACACGGTTAACAACTGATGAGGGACTCACATCTGATTAGCTAGTTAGTTAGACAATAGCTTAACAAGACAACGATCAGTGAACTGAGATACAGGCACCAGCGGGGAATTTTCAGCTAGTTTCATCTAAATCCTACGCTACTTAAACCGAGCAAAACACACAGCCTACCAATTAACTGGACATCAATTGTATGATGAATAACAAAACAGAACTATGTACCAATTACCACCTTTGATCTACATTTCAATTCGCTACACTCTCATGAATCACAAAAGCACCATGTCCCATATAAATTTCAAAACTTTGACCAAAACCCATAAATCATAAATCACAATACAGAAAACCCATTGACCAAAAACCTTTGTAGATACATAAAAGTAAATTTCAGGCCAAATCCTTATACAAAAAATTAAGCATACAACCTAAATCTCAACAATTACACCAACAAATTAACAGTTCCCAAAAGCAGAGAGAGAGAGAGGAGAGAAAGATTACCCAACATCGTCACGATAGAGACGGTTGATGAGAACATCACCGCGGAGGTTCAAGAAGTAGATGGCGGAAGCAGCCACTGGCATCTCTGATCCGGTGAATCAAGAACAAATCAGCTGATGGGATTGGGTCCAGCTATCAGATCTGCGAGATTTGGAAATGAACGGCTGAGATTGCCAGACTAGAGCATCTGCAATGGTCTGCTGGTGGGTGGTAACTGTTATCTCATGAGACTGAGTCTCTCGTCGGCAGGCAATGCAAAAGATCGGACTGAAAACAAAGAGAGAGAAGTTGGTCTTTCTTTCCTTTCTAGTTCTGCATAATTGTATTCCACGCGTGGCTGCCAGTAGGGGAAATTTGGAAAAATAGCTTTTCATAGTTAATGAAAAATAGTTCTTTTAGGGTGCGTTTGTTGCACCGGACTATCTCGGACTGAGCTTCAGGGATTAAACTGGACTGGCTTGGCTTGGACTAAGCAGGATAAAATTAGTGAAGTGTTTAGTGGAATGCCAGACTAAAGTCTGGACTAAAATATTTTGCTATTTTTTATTCACTTTTACAATTTTTAATCTACTATTGCCATTTTTTTTAATCCGTTCGAGCATCATCTAGTCATTCTTCTTACAATATTTTAATCCACTTTTGCCATTTTTATTCCATTCCATTATCCTCTGGTCGTCTTGTATCGCTCCATCCAACATCCTCTCTCTCTCAAAGGCTCAAGTCACCTTTTTTTGTGAAAACCCCAGATCAAAATTCTTCATTTTTGCAGCCGGATTTAGAGAAATGCCAAGGATCTTGTGTCGGAGTTGGCGTCGAGGTTGATTTGGGCGACGAGGTTGATTTGGGCAACTTGGTTGATCTGATTTTGAACTGGGTTTTTGCAATTAATTCGAGCATTTTGGATGTTGAATTGTTGATATCGAAGCTTCTGGGGACAACCCGTATGAATTTATGAGGTAATCGATGATGAAAATTTGTTGGCTTTCTGGGATTTTTGAGGTCCTTGGTCGGTTAAAGCATTTCAGATGCTGCTGGCATCTTTGAGATGTAGATTCATGTGGGTTGGTGTTGTTGGGTTGGTTTTCTAAGCATCTTTGAGAGATGCATGTTAGTTTCAGAGGAGGTGCGAAGCAGACAACAGACGAGGGCGAGCGGTCCTAGCTAGTCCGCCACTTTTCAAGGGGTCTCGCTAAGAACTCTCAGTGAAGCATTTAGTCCGAACGAGTGAGACTTAGTCTCATTAAAGTGAATCCGAGTGCACAACAAACACAGACTAACATTCTTAGCTAAGCCAAGCCAGTCTAGTGAAACTTAGGGAAGCCAAACAAACACACCCTTAGAAGCTTCAAATAAGATGTCAAAATTATCACGTAAATATACAAAAGTTAAAAATACAAAAAAGTAAAAAAGTTAAAAAAGCAGCAAACTTTCTTTAACTTTAACCTTTAACTTCTTAACGTTGGCGCTTACGTGGCGCTAAGCATTTAAAGGCAAGGTCTTTTGTTGTCAAATTTGATAGCAGATGTCAAATTTATTATGAGAATTTTAACGAAAAGCTTCCAGTATTGTTCATTTTAATAAAAAACCACATTTTTACACTAAAAACGCTTTATTTTGTCCTTATCGTTAAAATTCAAAATTTTCAAACATTTTTCATTAGTTTTTCTATTTATTAAATGACTTTTTAATAGATTAATATAATATATAATAAATGTTGTTATGTTTTTTTTTTTAATATTTGATTGGTTGCCTTAATCATTGGACTCCACAAAATATCAAATTGCCACATAAGCTATCAAATATTATTTTGATGTTTAAAATTTGACATCTCATTTGCACATGCTCTTAAGTAACCCACCTATACATATGTTTATTTTATTGGCTAACCACACATTATTACCCAGTAATTTTCAAATGGGTCATAAAAATTTCAATTTTTTCACATTGTGTCGTGAGTGCTCGTGGGGAGGTTAGTCTCTTTGAACGTCTAATCGTCCATATAATTGATCAGTTTTTGTCAATATTGTGCAAATGTGACTTCTTAATCCATATAAACCATCTCCAATGTTATAGTGTCAAATGCTAAACTTTAGCATATTACAAGCTTAATTTTAGCAATGGGCTTGTGGAACTGAGTTTGTCTTAGCCTCGTGGAGCATCTTGAAGAGTTTCTCATATTGCTCCTAGAGGATCTCATTCCTAATCACTATTTTGTAATTCGACTTTAGCTTAAAGATTAGCTTTCTTTATTTCCCCTCTTCACTGCCTCACGCTAGGCATGAGGGCGGTATCGTTCTGTGTGTTGTGGCTTCATTCACTCCCCATGTTGAAGAGGGATACCTAATCGAATGAGCGTACAAAATTTGAAAATCAGCTTGACAAAGCTGGTGAGAGTAGGAAAAAATGTTGCTCCCACAAACGGCTTCAAATGTTGATGCGACTTTGGAACAATGTAAGTGTCAATGTATGACCTTCGTAAGGTTGCTTCGGTCACCAAATGTAGGTAATATGTAAAAAGATAGAGATAGGAAAACAAACACAAGATATACGTGATTCATCCTAAGTTGAGTTACGTCCAAGAGGGTATAGGGGTTCTCATTAATAATGTAGAGTTTACATGACACAAAAGTTTAAGCATAATCATCATTAGTGAGTTCTAATAATGAGTTAAGTAGAATAATAGTATTAAGGACTAATTGTAAGAGAATGGTCTCCTTTTATAGTTGAGGAAAGTCGCTCGCTTCATACGCAATCGATGCTGGACTCTAAGAGCTTTATTCTGATATTGACACGTGTTGCGTTGTAATTGGCCTCTTGGTTGGAGAGAAACTTTTGTGCTTCAGCAGGGATACCTCATCACGAATCCTTAAGTGGATCTTTGAAGGTATAAAGTTATCTGTTGTTTAGTAATTTCCAGATCGGTGAAATATGGTACAAACATGCGCAATTAGATATCAATTGTTTGATGTGATAAATTTTCTTGATGTTTTGGGGACGGTTAATACAGATATATGATGGGACTAATCACTGCAATGACTTCCAACAACTTCAGGTGTTTAGATGTTGGTGGCTGTGGAAGTGTCGACGTGACGCAGTTATCAATAACAACCTAATTCCCCCCAGCTAGGGCAATCATATTGATGCAGAGGCAATGTGCAGCTTCCAGTTTAGTAATGAAGGTTGAAGCTATGCGCGAAGCAATGGGAGTGTGCATTGAGAAATTTTTTGACATTGATATTGGAATCGTACTGGTTCAATCTTGTGGGGATGTTATGTGGAAAACTGGAGTTGGATGCAACAGTTGAAGACATCATATTTTGATGTACTACACCTAGCAAAACAATTGGTGCTTGTCGAGTTTACTTGTACTCCTCGCAGATAAAACGGAGCAACTCACTTGATAGCTTCTTTTGTAATAAGAAACAGAGAAACCCATAGGGGTCAAATTCTCCCAAATTGCTATTTAATCTTATTACTTTAGATGTAAACATTTCCTTTTGAATCGTCACTTAGTATTACGCTTTAGTGTATTTATTTTCACTTGTAAGTGAGATGTTTTAAATTCGATTCTCAACAAAGACGAATTTAAATCATATTATTGTTAGCCAATTTTAATACTAAGCTTATTCCTCCCCACTTAATGTAGATAATATTATTTAGAAACATTTCCTTTGGAATCAAACAAAACTATGGGTTGACCCAAAAAAGAAGGAATTTTATAGCTAGCGTAAAACGAAGATTTTCTTTGACAGTTTGTCTGAAAAAAGCTTGGGCCAGCAGCCGGCCCATTTAGCTTGATGTCCGCAACTTACCCGATCTGACGTGTAGCCAGTGTTATCTCCACGCGTCAAATGACGATAGGCAGGTGGGATATCCCCGCATCCACTGCAGCCCGATGTCAACAAAATCAACAGTGGGCCCAACCTTCTCTCTGTTTTCACCGTCAGATGTCTGAGACTCGAATCCAACGGTCGAAATCCCTTCAGACAACTACCAACGGCTATAGAGCCAGCTGAAACGAAGACCAAGCAAATGCTGAAGCTGAAGTAATGCTCAACGAAGACGACGAAGACTCGCTTCAGCCCAATATCTCGGTCCGAACGGCGTCGTTTTTGGCATTTCATTACTAGCTTACATACCATGGAGCTTCCGTGCATATCGTTCACCGTTCCTAATCCTCCGACGGTGTGTCGTTTTGCGGCAAACTCGGCCTCTGCGATTTCCCGGTGGCGAGAAAGCGGAGGACGGCTTCGTTGGACGGAGCTTCTAGGGTTTCGGTTCGGGCGGTGAGGGGGTCGACGGAGCAACGAGGCAGTGAAGGCATTGACGGCAGAGATGAATGAGAGAGTCGTGGGGGAGGCGGGTTCACGAGCCCTGCCATGGAGGTCACCACGTTCAATTCGAACTTCGGCGAAGCTGAGTTTCCCGTGTGTGGGAAAAGATTGGGGCTGTTGTTAGACTTAGCTATGGAATAGGTGAGTAAGCTCTGCTATAATTGGCATAATAAACCACTAATTACCGTTGACTTGAGGCTTGATAACCGTTTCGTTTTCGGTTTCTAGTTTTTCAAAACGAATTTGATTATCAAACGACCCCTTTCCTAATTAGCGTTAATACTACGAATCCTTAACTTGTCAATTAACACTTGAAAGATTTAATTTTTTTACTCTGTTTTGGGGTACTACGGCATGATCAATAGAGAAAATGGATTAGTTATATGTAGTTTTTTGTGATGATTGTTTTGTGATTAGGTATATATGGAGCAATGGCTGTATTAGGAAGATTTATATGTTCCGTGACGGGGATTGATAGCATGGGAGGTTTCCAAGTGTCTTTTAGATGCAATTGTACAAGGGCTTGGATATGCAGCTCCTCCAATTATGGCCCTTCTTTTCATACTAGATGTAAGTTGTTTTTTTGTTTATTTGTTTTGAAATTTTAACACTGGGACGAGTAAGTAAGATTAGCACTGTGCCCACCAAACATATGATGCTGGCTTTGGCATCACAAGCACCACCAAGAGCACCACTGTGACCCCGCAACTAGAGATTAAAGACGCGTGACTCTGCGAGTGACAAAAGAGGACCTTGTCCCAAGCATCATGTTGATGGGTTAACAGTAGGTAGAAAGTCCAAGAATTTGATTTAAATCCCCAAATATAGAGTTGTTAATGAGAAAACTCAGACAGATGGGAAAAGGATATGAGGAACAGTATTTTTCATTGACAACCGAGTGTAATGCATGAGAGTTTAGTAATTCACTTGAGCTCCATTTTGGTCTGCCTTCTTCTAACTATTTTGTGACTAACCTATGTGAAAATGGTTATAGGATGAAGTTGTGAAGGTATCTCCTCATGCTCGTGCTATTCGAGATGTAGAGGATGAAGAGCTTCGAAGCTTCTTTTATGGAATGTCACCTTTGCAGGTATAACCTCTTAATTGATATTATTGTAAAGAACTTTATGGTTTCCAGCTTGGACAAAGCAATAAACAAGTTCTCTGTTTGTTATTTCAATGCACAGTTTATACTAATTGTTGCTGCAAGCTCTGTGGGTGAGGAGCTTTTCTACAGGGCTGCTGTTCAGGTGTGCTATTATGAATAATTTAGCCTTTAATGTATGCTAAAAGATATAAATCAATTTGTTTAATGTTTACTGTTGTTGCACAAATTGTAAGCTTCACTTTTTGTCAACATTAGCTGAAGAATTGATGTTCTGTAGGAGCAATAAATCATTATGATATTTTTCCTTATCATTTGTGACTTTTAGGGATCATTGGCCGATATATTTCTAAGGGGCACAGATCTGATGACAGATGCTCGAGGAGTGGCGTCTCTGGTATTGCAGTTTTTTTTCTGACATTTCTTTCCTGTTACCAGTATAGAAAAGAACTTGTTCTGATGACTTTTACTCGCTTTATATGTAGACTGGAGTTCTGCCCCCATTTGTCCCTTTTGCTCAGGCATTTGCAGCGGTGATTACGGCTGCGCTCACAGGTTCTCTGTACTATGTGGCAGCTTCTCCAAAAGGTTGATTCTCTCAAAGTCCATTTTATGTAACTCGTGTGAATTTTGACTTGGTGCAAATATAATCATCAGTTGTTAATCGTTCTTGCAGATCCTGCTTATGTAGTTGCACCAGTTTTACAATCTCGCTCTGGTCGTGAAGACATGAAAAAGCTTTTTGCAGGTTTAACCTCTAACCTCAGCATGGGTTTTTCAGTGCATCCGTGCTGTAGTTATAAGTATGGGCTAAACAAATGGTAACCAGTCATTACTTTTAGGCGACAAGGGTTAAGACTTGAGAGCTTCCAGCTAACCAGTATTTTGCTAGGCTTGGAAAATTATTCGGTTTTGTCATGACAAGTATAACATCCTAGCAACCTAGTATTTGTTTCCACTGACGGGTTGTAAGTTATCATAGTCGTTAACCTTAATCCAAGTCCTCTGATAGTCAAGTTTCACACGATAAGTTTATGTTTGTAGTACCAAATTAGATGGCTAGCACTTTCAACAGATGACTAGTAGTTGCAACTAACCATAAAATTTTATACAGCAAATTCATGCTTGAATTTCAACGTAATATATACCGAAATGGTTACAATTTCTTGAAAACTCTGTTTCAAGATAGTTATATTTGCTTGGTTGCCATGAAGAAAAGAAAATGATACGTTTCTAAATCTTGGAACCATAAATGAACATCTGAATCACCGTTTGTTTCTGGTGAACGTTCTGCAGCTTGGTATCAGAGGAGACAAATGAAGAAGATTTACTCTCCCCTGCTTGAAGGACTTCTTGCCCTATATCTTGGTTTTGAGTGGATCCAGGTAATTGGGTTTCTTGGTTACGAATTTGTTGTTCACCATCTACCTACCAATACCATACACTCAAGTGGATGAAACTCAATAATCGAATTTCTTTACGTTTTTGTGAAAATTTGGCAGACGAACAATATGCTTACGCCTATGATCACGCACGGCATATACTCTGCTGTGATATTGGGTCATGGCCTTTGGAAGATACACGATCATCGGAAAAGACTACGCCAGAGGATCCAGCAGCTTAAAGTAGAAGGAAAGAAGTAGAATAAGTTGTGGAGCTTTACTAGTCTGGGGATAAAATTTGTAAATTACAGAGCAGATTCTTTGCAGATATTCCCAAATAATGTATACGTATATAAAGTCGAAAACGAAACTATGTACATATTGAATCCGTGCAATTTTAGTTTCTTGAAGGCTATGTTTCACTGTTGAAGGTCTTGGCTTTGAACTTTTGGTGGATGGATTGATTCTAATCAATTAAGACATGAACATAGGACCCCTGGAGAAGAAATGTGTGGTTTTCGATAATAATTGAGATATGTAGGAAGTGCTAACACGAAAACTAACTGCTATGTTAATGGGTCAACCGTGTCACCTGTTAATATAACATTATTTTTATTTGTTTTCAAACTCTTTTAAAGGGATTTGATTAACTCGTTTCAGCCCTTATGTCTACTTCAGCTCCAACTGTTAGAGCGTGATCGACGGAGATGATGAAAGGGGTGAAATGATTAGAAGAGTAATAATCACTACGAATTTATACAATAAAATTGTTTCATGAAGATATCGGCACTTCAAAATAGTCAATCTGCACTCCATCCTAGAAGAAATCTTAGAGCGAAAAGGACCAAACAATGACATTTTAGGAGTGCCGAGAACAACTCACATATTCTGCTATTGAACCACTAGACCCAAGGAGATTCACACTCGTACAATGGATGACCTACCATGAAGTCACTAGTTTTCTCTTCATTGATTTCCTTTCAACGACCTATGGTGTGTGAACCTTAAGTTGTTAATCTTTGTTTTTCAGTGCTGCCCGCAATCTCTAGGGTTTGGCCGGAAGGCTCTTCTAGATCTGATGATGATACATTTTACGGTGTACACCTTCCGGTGATGACCCAACTCTTAACCTTAGCTATTAAGAAAGAACTGAATGTTGAAGACAGAAGATGGATTAGTTGGAAAGAAAAATTATCCCTTCTAAATCTACGTAATCATATGGGTGAAAGATTGTTTTACGCAGTCATGAGATCCAAAGTGTATAGCGCACAAATTAGCATCGACAAATGGTAATTAACGAAATGCACTCAACTCAGTGCAGAACATATGCCCTTACCAGAAGCAAAGATTATACCAACATTTTGCTTTCTTTATTGGAATATATACTTGTCTCCATGATTAGCTAGGTACCATTTGCAACTTCTCATTATTTATCAACTTTCTAAGTTTCTTTCTTACCCACTTTTGCCCCCGATTCTCTCGTCTTGAGACACCAGAGACCGCAACTTCTTTTTATTCTTATTCTTCAAATTTGCTTTTGTTTCTTCTCAGATTCTCAGTCTTCTAGTTGAGCGATCACGCTGATAAACACCTGGTAGCCTTGGCTCATATCTGTAAAAAGGCAGTACTCGTTCTTGGCATGGTATGTTGCCATCAAGCCTGCGCATACATAACAGCAATGAATCAGATCATCGACACGGATATACCAACCTACCAACTCCCAGGAAGAACCAAATAGTATCCTACCGTAGCCAGCAGTTTGAACATCGAATCCTTCATCCTAGCACACAACAAATTGATATAATTAAGAGAATGAGTACTCAAGCAAAAATAGAAGAGAAAAAGCAAAAAAGATTATTGTACCTGTAATTCTCGAATGAGAGGTAAACTTCCAGTAATTGAGTACGGCTTTACATGACCAACAACCTCTTCAGTAGCTTTACACAATACATGAAATCCACGGGAGTTCAGATCACAAGCAACTCCAGACGTGGCCTCGTTGAAACTTAATGTAAGACTGCAGAGAAAGAAAAATGTAAACTTTCTTTCTTCTTTTAATAATTAACATGCCCAATAATATTTGTTTTTCCTTTTGTTTTCTTTTGCTTCGCCTTTGTTGTTCATTTGTTTATCCAAGAAATAGACGTATCTGATGCTTACTACTTGTAATGCAAAGCAAACAAACGATCATCTAAGAGATGTTGCCGGTGTGTGTCTGAAAGAGAGAGAGAGAGAGCACCTTCCCCTTAGGTTTTCATCTGGTAGGACATACTTTGAAACTGGACCTCGTGACTCTAACTTTTCTATGTTTTCGTTAATATCATCCACGTATTCTTGAAGCTTTTCCATAACATCCTTAACGCTGTAACAGGTTAATACTGTTTGTGAGTTAAAAATGGAGAATGGAGCAGAGATAAAATCTTTACATCAAACCTGTAGGACCGGGAAATTCACGAAAGAAATTCAGTTGCTTACTTGTAGAAGGGAGTTAACCTGCAAACAACAAAAACGAATAAGAAAAATCCTAGAAAAGAAAAAGATTAAAGAAAAAGCCTTGTCGAGATACCCTTCTCCTTGGTTAAACCAAGAAAAGAAAAGTTCTGTCACTACGTCATTGAGAAGATTATAAACCTGACATCTCCTGAAATTGTGCATTCAGCCGGAATTTGATTTATTCCACCACCTGGATCTGCAACAAAAAGAAAAGACAAAAAAAATGAGATCAATGTATGTAGAATTCTGCAACACAAGCTTGAAGAAACTTACAAGTCCATTGAGTTGGCTTCATGGTTGACGGTGTTGCAAATCCATAGGCCTCTTCCTTGGGATGTGGAGGAAAATCTCTATAGAACCGCAACTGGATCTCTTTCAGTGCTTCCATAGCTAGCTCCAAAGGATTTATAGCCTGCAGACATTCAGCATCAGCCACAGAAGATATATAAGTAGGAACACGAAAATGCTTCCTAGTCACCTGAAGCTTAAAATTGCTTATAAGGCCAGTGGCATACCTTGTGTGGTAAACCACTATGAAAAAGCTTCCCAGTCACATGAAGCTTCCAAGGTATCATACCACCAGTACCAATGCAAGGTTGTTTATCTGCCGTGTCAATCCAAAACCTGAGTTGAACCACAAAAGTCGCAAACATGAATCAGCGAGACTTCTTTGTTGTCATGTTTTACAAGAAACGAAAGTTACTTACAGAGGACCATCCTTTAGCTTACTGAGTAGCCCATCCTTCACAAGCGCATCCACACCAACTCCTGAAATGGAAGAATTCTCTTCATTTGCTATAAAGACTGCAACCATTGTTGACTTTAATTTTGGCTTTGTCTCAGCCAGCCTTCTCATGAGCTCAGTTAGAAGTGCAACATGACCCAAGCAATCAGTGGTTCCACGGCCACGGAGTTTATCTCCTTCGATGCTCAATGAGAATGGATCAAATTCCTGCAAATACAAGAATCAAATTTGATGCACAATGAATCATCACTAACCTACCAAAATTGAGAAAAGGAAAGAACGACAATTATCGCATTTTAACTACAGCCCAATGGTGATCCACTATTCTTTACACAACACCAATGAAAAACTCAAACTCAAACTACTGTAATGAAAGACTAAACTTGCATCTGAAACTCTATTTTCCAGACGTAAGATGTGAAGCGTAATAAAATTTAATTGGCCACAGTTGCAATTTTATGCTTGTCTTGAACGAAAGCTTATTGCCAAATGATGTAAACTGAAGGATAAAGCACAGCATATGTATTTGGGAAAATCCAAATGAGAAAACATACGTAAATTAAAATGAATAAATGCAGAGCAGTTCCTGTCCAACAAAAAAAGAATCGAAACTCGGCAAATATTGATTGGAATTAAGCTAACACTAAACAGATAATCCTCCACACAACTAACACAATTGCTAATCACTCGAAAGCCGATACAAGTAACAGTTAAACTGAAGCTCCATTCAATTCAAACGAACGGCATAACAGGAAATGCTAAAAGAAAAAAAATTGTGAAGTTGATATAGATATAAGTAGGGGTGCTGGTGAATGGCAGCCATGGCTGCTCTGTATAGCATAGACAAGAAAGGAACATACCCAGTCTTTGGGATTAGCAGTGACGACGTCCATGTGACAGCCAACAAAGGACAAGATCTTCCCAGGAACAGTTCCTGGGTACTCCACAATAACGTTGCCTCTGCCGGGGAAGTAGGTCACGTGGTTGATCACCAAGGGACCACCGCCTGTGGTGGTGCTAAGGGGCAGCAAGGAATCGAGCACGTGCTTGACGACTCGGTCCTCTTGAGGGATGAGGTCAGGTGGGTTGTTCTGGAGGTACTTGGACTCCCCAATGAGCTTGGACAGAAGGGATATGAAGGACTCCTTGTCCAGGTCGCCTACTATTTTCTTCACGTCGGTGGAGGAGGAAGCCATGGCTGTGGGTTTTGGCTTTCGTGATCGTGGTGGCCAAGTATAAAAGAGAGAGAGAGAGTAGAGTGTGGCTCACGGCTTTAGAGCATCCAAGGAGTGCTTTGCTAACGTATGAGAGAGAGAGAGAGAGAGAGAGAGAGAGAGAGAGAGAGAGAGTGTGGCTGCCGGCTCTAGAGCATCTCCTAAGAAGTGCTTTGCTATCTCCGGCACTTTTAAAATTTGTCACTCAAACCCACTCTTCAAATTTTATCTAACTTTAAAATAGTAGTATTCAACTCCGATACAATTTTTATAAATCAAAAACAAGTTTTGAGTTCCAAACTTCAATTCCTGTTTGGTAGGCCTGTTTTTAAACATTGGCCCTAAAAATAACTTAAAAACAAAGCCTCCTTCACAAAAAATAAAAAATAAAAAAAATAAAAGGAAGAAAATTCAAATTTGGGTGCGACCGGACGGACACACTGCTGTTTATGACTAATCTAACCCACATCTTCCTATAAATTATTTGATTGGATTCTGATAGAATCTCCCAAATGGGAATACAGTTTATTTGATTGGATTCTAATCTCCCAAATGGGAATACAGTTTACCCACAAAGGCAAAAAAAAAAAAAAAAAAAAAAAAAAACTGCCACTGTAACTGTGACATGGGATGAATAAAGTGAAATGGAGATCCTAAGTTCCAATCTTAATGCAGGAAAGAACAAAAACGCACTCAACTCAATGCAGAACATATACCCTTAACAGATCAAAGATTATACCAACATTTTGCTTTCTCTATTGGAATAAATACTTGTCCTCATGATTAGCAACGTACCATTTGCAATTTCATTATTTTTAACCTTCTAAGTTTCTTTCTTACCCACTTTTGCCCCCCGATTCTCTCGTCTAGTTGAGACACCAGAGATTACAACTTCTTGTTATTCTCATTCTTCAAATTTGCTTTTGTGTCTTTGCAGATTCTCAGTCTTCTAGTTGAGAGACCACGCTGATAAACACCTGGTAGCCTTGCCTCATATCCGTAAAAAGGCAGTACTTGTTTGGGTTGAAACTTAAACTTTGGGCTTAGAAGGGAGTTGGCCCAAAAAGAGAAGGAAAAGCCCGAAGCTCAGCCCAGACCTAGAAAGCAGAAAGGGCCTTTCCCGACTAGGTGCAGATCATTTGCACCACTTGCTCACATACCCAAAGGCCAAGTGGTATAGACCAGCCAGCTAATCAACCCAAAACTACTTTATGATGGCAGTACAAGTAAATAGCTGATGAGTCACTATCCTTCAAACTGCATTCGGGCAAGATTATTGCTACAGGAGGCCAAGCCAAGGTGGCTATAAAAGGAGAAAGAGAAGTCAGAATCAAAGACACTCAAACAAACAAACAAAAGCATAAACTCTGCTCAAAGCCAGATTTGCCTTCAAAACGAAGCTGTAGTCAGCCCAAGCCTTCATCCCTTTCAGGACAAACCCTTTGTAATAGCTCTGCTACCCTGTTCAACGCCTGCTGTAGTATCGATTTTCTTTCTGCAAACTCACCTCCCAACCCCTTTTCTAAGCTTTCAAACCTTCTGTTAACCCACAAAGATAGGAAGTTGCAAGACGATCAGCCTTGCCCGACCTTCTTTGTTTTTTGTCTTTTCATTCATTAGCCTAGCAATATGTTGTATACTTCAAGTTGTATCCAAGTTATTTCTAGTAATATGACTATTAAAAGACTTTCTCAGTGCTTGAATCCGATTTGAATATGTCTTCACAGTTCAAGCCAGATCTAAGTTCTAAGCCCTCGGGCATATAAGATTTGATCACCCTAAAAAGTCCTTGGCCTCAAGGCATAAAAAAGAACCTGATGTGGACTTAACCCATTCACAACAAGCTTTGATAAACAAGAAGTCCGAAGTTACTTGGGGCGCAAGTAATCGACCTGCCACTTAGTTTTATTTCTGTTATATTATGATGACCATATAACGTTCGAGTACGGGATGAATTCTGATGGGAAGCCTCAAGGCATATTCAAGGCCCCACAAAGGCACCTATTTGGATTCATCCTATTTCTCGGGCAAGAACGTTCGAGTACGGGATAAATTCTTATGGGAAGCCTCAAGGCCTATTCAAGGCCCCACAAAGGCACCTATTTGGATTCATCCTATTTCTCGAGCAAGAACATTGAGTACAGAAGGGGTTCTGATGGGAAGCCTCAAGGCCTATTCAAGGCCCCACAAAGGCACCTATTTGGATTCATTATGCTCTTTGAGCTCGGGTAATCAGAAGCATGATGGTTATAAGACCCATATAACCAACAAAAGGAACCTTATGTGTTTGAGTACTAAGTTAGTTATTTATGGGAAGCCTCAAGGCCTACACCTAAGGCCCCACAAAGGCACCTGTCAATAACTAACATAGTTTCTCGAATATATATAATTAAAACTCAAACATCCGTTCTACATCTGCCATGCTGAAGATGGTAGTGGCATGCCTGAGCAATTCAAAGTTAATTTTGATCGTGAGCCTCAAGGTTTACACCTAATGTCTCACAAAGGCACCTTTCAAAGTTAACTCTGTCCTTCTCTTTCAGCCTTGCCCGACAAGCCTTACCCGACAGGCTTTGCCCGACAAGCCCGCTAGTAAAGCAGAAGCCCGACAGAAAGCATCAACCAGCGCCAACCTCTCGGAGAGCTGTGTGCTCGTCGGCTAGGAAGCATTCCCCACGGAAATTCCCGCCACGAATAGTACTCATTCTTGGCATGGTATGTTGCCATCAAGCCTGTACATGCATAAATAACAACAGTGAATCAGATCATCGACTCGGATATAATAACCTATCAACTCCCCAGGAAGAACCAAATAGTATCGTACTGTAGCCAGCAGTTTGAACATCGAATCCTTCATCCTAGAACACAACAAATTGATATAATTAAGAGAGAGTACTCGAGGGAAAGTAGAAGAGAAAAAGTAAAAATGGGCTAGGAACAAAGAAAACAATAAGCAAAGAACAATTATTGTACCTGTAGTTCTCGAATGAGAGGTAAACTTCCAGTAATTGAGTACGGTTTTAAATGACCAACAACCTCTTCAGTAGCTTTACACAATACATGAAATCCACGGGAGTTGAGATCACAAACAACTCCAGACTTTGCCTCATCAAAACTTAATGTAAGGCTGCAGACAAAAAAAGATGTAAACTTTCTTTCTTCTTTTAATAATTAATAATGCCGAAAAATATTTGTTTTTCCTTTTGTTTTGATTTGCTTTGCTTTTTGTTGTTTAGTTATTTTATCCAAGAAATAGAAATATCTGTGGTAGCAACTTGTAATGCGAAGCAAACAAACGATCATCCAAGGGCAACATTTATTTGAAGAAAGGCTGGAAAACATAGGGATCGGTTTATGGCATGCGTTTAACTAACAAAACTAAGAATGCTGGCATGAAGTAATTACATATTATTAAATGAATATCTTATCACAATACATTTTTTTGGTCTGAATATCTTATGACAATTGTTTATGACGTGTGTGTGTGTGTGTGTGAGAGAGAGAGAGAGAGCACCTTCCCCTTAAGTTTTCATCCGGTAGGACATACTTTGAAACTGGTCCTCGTGACTCTACCTTTCCTATGTTTTCATTAATATCATCCACATATTCTTGAAGCTTTTCCAAACATCCTTAACGCTGTAACAGGTCAATAGTGTTTGCAAGTTAAAAATGGAGAATGGAGCAGAGATAAAATCATTGCATCAAACTTATAGGACATGGAAATTCATGAAAGAAAGCCAGTTGCTTACTTGTAGAAGGGAGTTAACCTGCAAACAACAAAAACGAATAAGAAAAATCCTAGAAGAGAAAAAGATTAAAGAAAAAGCCTTGTTGACATACCCTTCTCCTTGGTTAAACCAAGAAAGAAAAGTGCTATCACTACCCCCCACAAAAGTCTTAAATAACCGTGATTGAGAAGATTAAAATGGCCTATAAGACACAGTGACATACCTTGTGTGCTAAACCACTATGAAAAAGCTTCTTAGTCACATGAAGCTTCCAAGGTATCATTCCACCAGTACCGATGCAAGGTTGTTTATCTGCCATGTCAATCCAAAACCTGAGTTGAACCACAAAAGTCGCAAAAATTAATCAGTGTGACACTTCTTGGCTGTCCTGTTTTACAAGAAATGAAAATTACTTACAGAGGACCATCCCTTAGCTTACTGACTAGCCCATCCTTCACGAGCGCATCCACACCAACTCCTGAAATGGAAGAATTCTCTTCATTTGCTATAAAGACTGCGACCACAGTTGACTTTAATTTTGGCTTTGTCTCAGCCAGCCTTCTCATGAGCTCAGTTAGAAGTGCAACATGACCCAAGCAATCAGTGGTTCCACGGCCACGAAGTTTATCTCCTTCGATGCTCAGTGAGAATGGATCAAATTCCTGCATATACAAGAATCAAATTTGATGCACAATGAATCATCACTCGTCGTAAAAGGTCGTACCCGTGCACAAGGCTCCCGCTTTACGCAGGGTCTGGGAGAGGTGAATGTCGGCTAGCCTTACCCCCATTTATGGAGAGGCTGCTCCCAAGTCTCGAACCCGAGACCTACCGCTCATGGGCGAAGGCACTTGCCATCGCACCAAGTGCGACCTCTTACAATGAATCATCACTAACCTACCAAAATTGAGAAAAGGAAAGAACAATTGTTATTGCATTTAACTACTGCCTAATGTGATCCATTATTCTGTACACAGCACCAATGAAAAACTCAAACTCCTGTAATGAAGGACTAAACACCAATGAAAAACTTAAACTCCTGTAATGAAACTCTATTTTCAAAATGTAAGATGTGAAGCGTAATAAAATTTATTGGCCGCAGTTGAGATTTTATGCTTGTCGTGAACCAAAGCTTATTGCCAAAATGATGTAAACTGTAGGATCTTAAATAAACACAACAACAACAAAGCCTTATCCCACCAAGTGGGATCCGCTGTATGAATCCTAGAACACCACTACGCTCAGTTTTGCGCCAAGTCTTCCGTTAGTGGTTAAAATCAATTTCAGATGCATCACGCTGAAATGGTAATATATTAACAGCTGAATCCAGTTAAGCTCATAACCGGACAAAGAGTTGGCAAGATAAGAA